GGGTGTGTGCGGCAAGGGGCAAAAGACACCCGGGAGGCGGGGGGGACGACTGCTGATTCTCCCGACCATGCGCCACAGGCCGGAGGCTTCCGCAGAGACAGGAAGAAGCCCCGACAGCAGCAGCCTTACAACCATGGGGTCCCTCCTGTTTCTGTTGCCTGTCTTCCGTTTTCATTCTGTTAGAAATCCACACAAAGACCAGACCCTCTCCACAAACCTCAAGAGCCTTTCAAGTCTTCTTCATCACCGCAGGCTGTGTGAACGCAGCAACTGCGCTTCGTTAACCCAGCTGAACAACTGCCCGCTTTCCTCTTGCATGTTTAAAACTAGCAATAAACGCATTTCCCGACAGCAAGGCCTCACCTCGGAGGGGCTTCCCAGAACCTCCTCCCGGACATCAGGTTGCCCCCAGTTGAAAGGGGCACTCAGAGCAGGAGACGGCGGAGCTCCACCCTGCCGCCTCAGCACCTTTTGGTTCTCACCTGGCTGGGGACGTCCTGCTCCTGGGTCACGATCATGTGCTCCTGCTCCAGAGCCTGCTGAAGCCTCTCTGGGGCCAGCACAGCTTGGCCAGACTGCAGGGCTGCTGCAGGGTCGAGAAGAGAGTGAGGGGTGCCAGCTGGCCTCTGCTCAAAGACCCCCAAGATCGCCCTTGGCCAAGCCCTAAAAGGCTCCAGCCATCCCATCACCCTGGGATGAGGAACCACAGCCCCCAGTTCTGAATGCCGGAGCAGGAATTGGGGGGAGGGGAGCCAAGCCGGAAGGAAAGGGGAAGCCCCGATCCTGCCCGGTCACTTACTCTGCAGGGTGGCCAGAGTCTCCTCATGGCTGTTCAGGATGATGGTCTGGGACGCTGCGGGGACCGGTTCAGAGGCCGGCCTTCCTTCGGAGCTGTGCAGCCTCTGCGTGTGGAACTTGAGGTGGCCGTTCCGGTTGAACCTGCAGGCCAAGGAGTCCTGCTCTCAGCAGGCGTCCAGGCAAGGAACACCCCACGGCTGCAGAGCAGAGGCCCCCCCGCCCAAGCGATATCCCCAGCCCACCTCTGGCCACATATGTAGCATGCAAAGGGCTTCTCGTTGGTGTGTGTCAAAGTGTGTCTGCGCAGATCTTTCTTGTTCTTGGAAGCAAAGCTGCAGTGCTGGCACTTGTGGGGCCGCAGGCTGGCGTGCTGATCCAGGTGGCTCTGGAAGGGGCCAGAAGGTAAGAGGGGGCTCAGGTGGCCGCCCTCCCCTTCCTCGGGGGCTGGAGGACGCGCGGGCTCCTCTGGGTGGCTCCTTCTGAAGCCACATTTTCTAGCCCCCTCGCCCGGCAAAGCACCTACCCGGACCTCTGGCCATGCTGCTGCCGTGAATGGGCAATCGGGACACTTGAAGGCACTGGGCCCCACATGGGCCCTCTTATGGCTCTCCATCTCCGCTCGGCCCGCAAAGGTGGCGGTGCAGATCTTGCAGGAGAACTTCTTGGCCGGGGGGGCCTTGCCCGGCTGGCTTTTCTTGGCGGGGGGGGCTTGCACAAGGGCTGCTCAGCCGGGCCCAGCGGGACACCGGCCTCTGGCTCCTGCTGCTCCTGGACCTGCCAGGTCAGGCAACGCACCATGGGCCACCGGACGCCGGGGAGAGTCTCCAGGGGCTCCCCGTTTATCTGCTGTGGGGAGAACCACCACGGTCACGGGGGCCTCTCTGCTGCGGCCTGATCCCGAGCAGCAGGGCAGTCCAGGGGAAGGCCTGGCACAGGCGGCAGCACTGCACCCAAGAGGCCAGGTGCCCCAGAAGGCCCAACAGCTGCCCCGTGCCCCCGTAACACAGCAATGCTAGGCTGCGATGGGCGTTTTCACAGTGAGCTGCTCTGAGCTCTTTCTGTGGGAAGCAGCGCAGAAGCCTTTGGGAGGGGCGGGGCCCCTCGCTCACCTCCTCAGAAGGCGGCTGCTGTGGCGGTTGAGGCCCCTCCAGAGTTGCAGGGCCCTTCAGGGAGTCCTGCATCACAGTCTGCACCGTTTCACCAGAAGCCTCCTCCTTCCTGCAGAGAGAGTTTGGAAAACGGGCTCTCGCTTTCAAAGAACACAACAGAGAGGAGGAGCCGAAGCAGAAGCCGGCCTCAGCCAGGGGGCTGAAGGAACTCGGCCTGTCCTTGAGAGGCCTTTTCTGATCTCGCCCTGCCCAGAAGGCGGTGCCCCACCGAGGAAGGCTCACCTGTAGAGCGTGCTGGCAACCTCCCCGCCGGGGGCAACAATGCTGTACTCAGAGGCACCGCAGAAGGGAATGGCGATCTGCTGGAGCTCGGAGCCGCCTGTGGAGGGCTGGGCGAGGGCCTCTTGCACCAAGGCCTCCCTTTGCTCTGTCACCTGGAGGGTCAGGACACTGGCCTGCAGCTCCTCCTCCTCCTCCTCCTGGTCCTGGGACTCGGAGCCCTTGGAGAAGCTCTTCTTCACGGCTTTCACCACAGCCACCTGCAGGAGCAGCAGAGCGGGGTCAGGCCCAAGGCTTCGTCCCTTCTCAGCTCCCACAGCAGCTGGAAGCCACCAACCTCACCTCCAGAGCGCTGGCTGGCAGCTCCCGCTGGCCACTCATGTTCAGCAGAAGGTCCAATGCGGTTTGCGTGGCCAGCTCTGCCGAGCCCTCCACCTCTGATGGGGAAGAGGAAGAGATCCAATTTAGCCTGCACCCCTCTCCCTTCTACTCCACATCGTTTGAGCTGCTCTAAAAGTGGGAATGGGTCAGGGCACACTGTCACTCGCTCCTGGCTTATGTTCCCCCCCTGCCTGGCTCTTCTCCCCAAAACGGAGGGAAGGACTGCTTGACCTCGGCCAGATGCACTTCGCAATACAGCGCTGCCTCTGCGGCGGTTTCCAGAAACAAGACAGCTTTTCCCTCTGCCAGGTGATGGGAGAAAGGGTGAAGGCACATGGGCACCACGCGATCCAGAACGTGGGGGAACCTGGACCGGGATCCCTAGACCAACCCTGCCCTAGTGAAGTCACAAGCCAGGACCCATAAATTAAACTAAGGCTGGTGGCACAGCTGTAGGGGGCTCTGCCTCCCTGCCCAAGAATGGATGGCAGGATCCCTGCGAGCCTCCCCGCACGTACCTGGCTCATAGAGAAGGGTGGCCCCCTCCAAGGGCTCCTGCGAAGGGTCAGGGGGTCCTTGCGCTGACTGGGAAGCCACCTGCTGGGAACAAGAAGCCGAGCCATTGCAGCAGCAGCAGCAGCAGCAGCAGCAGCAGCAGCAGCGAGAGCACAAGGACCTGGTCTGGCCACTCACAGATGGGCTGGGCGTGGCGGCCTCCGTGGCCGCTTGACCCTGGCTGTGCTGCTGCTTCAGTTCCTCAATCTGCTGAAGGGTGAAGAAAGGGCGGCGGCGACAGGGGGGCTCCTCCGGGTGGCGCTGCACCCACTCCTCAAAATTCTCCGGATGGCGGCACTGGACGTGGAGGCGCAGGTTCTTCTTGTGCTTCGTGGTGAAGTGGCAGAGCTCGCAGGCAAAGGGCTTCCCACCTGCGGACGGCAGCAAGGCTCAGCAGGCCCTCCTTCCGCCTCGCCACCCAGGCGGGAGAAGAGCCCCTCCTCGACACACCCGCCCCTCCCCGGCTTGAGACCACGAGGCGGAGGGCTGGCGTGAACCTCCCCATCTGCAATTTCACACAAGGAGACGCCAAGGCTAAAAACACCATATGGAGTTTCCTGAGACACGGCTGTGCCTGTTTTCAGTACCGCGCAGATGGTACCGATGCAGTCAAACATGTCTCCCCTTTGAGCTAGATGGTCTCTGAGATGGCTGAGCAGATTGTGCAGCACTCCTCCTTGTAGGCCAGGGGCTGGGACTCCTGGGGCCCACCTCCAGCATTATGAGAAGGGCCACCGATGCGCCACCAGGAAGGCTTGGCTGTGCCTCCATGCAGACCCTCCCAGATGTGCTTGTGCTCAGGGACGAAATTGTCTTGTGGCCAGCAAAACGAAACATGCAGAGCTCTTTTCACACAAGTAAAATTTAAGAGGCCACAGTTCTCCCAAATTCACTAACTGGTCTGCGCAGCACACTCAACTACAAAGTAAGCCACTTTCTGGGCCAAAACACCATGCTAAATTGCAAAGCTCCTAACCAAGGTTAACCAGGTTCACAGTGAGGCGTGAATGCTTGTCTCTCACAGTATCTGCTCGGCCAGTTTGACCTGGCAGGGTTGGCATGCTCCAGGTTCCATCAAATAAGCAATGCCATCTCTGGACCCCGGAAACGCGCATTCTCCATGGCAGCGCTGCCCTCTGGAATGAGGCTCCCATGAAAATTTGAAGGGCTCCCGCCCTGCTGGCATTTCAAAGGGCATTAAAGACCTGGGTCTTTGCCCAGGGCTTTGAAGATGATGACTGACACCCCTGCGCCCTTTTTGTTCCCCTCTGGGCTTATTTCCTTTGCCACTGCTGTTCTTTCGCCTTCTGCTGCTTTTGAGTTTTTTGCATCATTCTTCATTTTTAAAAGTTTTAACAATTGTAAACTGCCAGAGTTGCCGGGAGTCCAGCAGCATGTAAATTTAATATATTATTATTGAATGCTATCACTCAATCACAGGCAGAAATTGCAGTTCAGCCTCCTATGGAAGCCACAGAAGGTCAGCAGACCACGTGGGAGCACCCAGGAAGCAGCTGAACTGGATGCTCAAGGCCTGTTGGGGGGCCTAACAAGCAAGTCATCACCACGCGCAGTCCACTTCTCCAGAAGGCCCTGAGCCCGCTGCCTTCCCACCAAATGCCGCTGATTGGGACGCGGGGGGTGCTCGGACTGTCCCACCAGCCCAGCCAAGAAGGCTTCCAGCAGCTCTTCCCCAAAGCCTGCTGGAGGTTGGCACCCAGTCTTGTCTCGTTCCTCCCCCCTCGCACCTGTGTGCTTGACCGCCACGTGAGAGAGCAGGAAGTCTTCGCGGACGGTGGCGTAGGAGCACAGGCTGCAGCGGAAGGGCCGGTCGTTGATGTGCAGGAGCTGGTGATTGAGCAGCAGCTTCTTGTCCTCGCAGACGTGATCGCAGAACTCACACTTGAACCTGCCCGGAGGAGGCCCTGGTCAGCCGGCAGTCCGGAAGAGCCAAGGTCCCACACCACCCCTCCCTAAAAGCGGCAGTCACCTGTGGTTTGCCACAGCTTGGATGTGGGTCAGCAGGTGCATCTTAAAAGTGTAGCGCTTCTTGAAAGACTTCCCGCACTGCAAGAGAGCAGAGGCCCGTTCCCATCACGCAGAGGTGCCAGGCTGCGCACGGCCACAGGCCCCAGTGCTCCCACACCCACCTTGTCACACATGTGGGGCTTTTCAGAACTGTGCGTCTTCATGTGCTGGGTGAGCCGCTTCTGCATCGGGTAGACTCGACTGCACACTGGGCAGGGGAAGGAGCTCCGCTTGGGAGCCTAGAGAGAGAGAGAGAGAGGGGGAGACTGTGCTGGGGGCCAGTCGCCTGGCTGGGCTTGAGGGCGGTGGGGCAACGTCCTCTTGGCAAGGCAGGCAGCTATTACGTCCGCCCAGCCGGCAGACGGATGTCCAGAGACACGGTTAACCTGCTTCCAGGAAAGATTCAAGCCTGCAGCCTCCCTCCCAGTCCAGGAGTTATTCTGCAGGCAGGCAGGAGGAGGAGGAGGAAGAGTGGGAAGATGGCCAGCCAGGAAGGAGTGCCAGGCTCGGGAGAATCTCTCTGCTTACCGGGTCAGCTCGCTTCTTCCTAAAACAGAGCAAGGAAGGAAGGCGAGTTTGTGAGAAGAGCAGAAAGCAGAAGGAAGGCCCTATTGAATTCAGCTGCCATGGAAGACCAAACCCAGACAGGTTCCAAAGGGCCACCCAGCTGAGGCGACCAGACCCCGCTCAGCACTCACTTGTCACGATTGTGCACAGCAGAATGACGGATGACATCCTTCTTGTACACGCTGGTGTAGTCGCACTCCTCGCACTTGTAGGGCTTTCTACCCATGTGGTTGAACATGTGCTCCTGCGAGACGCAAAGGAAAGGCTCAAGGCTCCGAGCAAGGCTTGCTCCCTGCTGGGAGGGGGCCAGGGGGAGCTCACCTTCAGAGAGGACCAGCGCCGGGAGCGATAGCTGCACTGCAGGCAGCGGAAGAGCTGGGGGTCTCCAGCCTCGTGGGAATTCACATGGAAGCGCAGGTCGTCGTGAGTCAGGAAGCGAGAGCCACAAATCCGGCACAAGTAGGGGCGCATCAACGGCCTGGCAGACTTGTAGCAGTACCTGCAAGGGGCACAGCCACGATCACCTCCGGTGGCCCAGCCAACTGCCAACTTCCGGCTCCCGTGGGAGCCACCCCCTCTCACCTTTGCCCCATGTACTTGCGGTACTTCTTGCCCAGGAACCGATGGGAGGGCCGGCCCCGTCGGCGGGGAATCACTTCGGGCTTGTCGCGGGAGGACGGGTCCCTGTTCTCCGAATCGGACTGGCTCACGGCCACTTCCGCGAGGCTGCCACTGGTGGCAGGGACGGAGCCCGAGGAGCTGGCCGCCTCGGAACTCTGCGGGTCCCCCTGGGGGATGCTCGGCGAGGAGGCAGCCGGCTCCACTTCACCACCTGCCGAGGGAATGGTTCGGAAGCGGGAACGCTGGTTGACACCGAGGCACGGGCGACGCTTTCTAGCTGCGGCCGAGCCCAGGGACTCCAAAGCAGCCGCAAAATACGCGAAGGGCCGGCCTCCAGACAAAACCCAGTGCACGTCCACCTCTGGGATTGGCAGACCCTCTCCTGTACAGGGGGTGCAACCGTTCCCCAGCAAGATCTCTACTCTGACGCATCTGGGGACAGAAGCTCAGGAGAACAGCGTGGTCTTCACGGGAAAAACAAAGGTGCTGTTGGGGTCCAAAAGCTCCCCTCCTGAGCTGGCCTGCCTATAGCATCTAACAAACAAGGAGAAAACTGGCACCAGGAGCTCTCAAGGCCAGAAAGTTAGCTGGCAAAGTCCCACTGGCTAAATCAATTTGGACACGGCAGGAAACGTGCGCTATGTAGGTGCACAAAGGATGACAACGTGCGAATCCTGTACGGCGTTCCATTTGTGAGCAGCAGAAGGAAGAAACCGAGACGCTTTGCCTTCCCTTCCAGAGCCGGGGTGGGCTGCTGACCACCTGCCAGAGCGCCGTTATCAGGCCCCTGTGACTCCAGCCCTCGGTCCCTCTCCAGGCACCACTTGCCCGGCAGAACCCTTGCCAAACCTTTTGGTACAGTGGGGGGGGGGGCAGCCCTGCCAAACAGGGGCAAAGCACAAAGCCTGGAATTCCCCCAGGGATTTGGTATCCATCTCCCAGGGGTGAGCAGCACCCTGGGGCATGCCAGCGTTTTAAGCCCAGGCGCGTGCTTTGTATGCCCCCTCAACGCGACCTTCTGGCCCACCCCTGCAACCCTGC